TTATTTTGAAACATTTTGGTGCAAATACACTACGAGAGGGCTCTGTATGTCACCATCGTTTACACACTGTTTTGTTGACATCTCTGTCATAAACACATGGCTTGTGTGTGAGACTAATTGTGTGTAATATTTAACTAATGTCTGAGCGTTTAGTTTACTAATTGGTTTCCACTCATAGCTTGTGTCCAACAAATGGGTGTCTTTGTGGTCGGCATTCACTTTAATCTCATCATCAGTCCTATGGTTTGGCTTATTTTCGATTGGATTGACAGCTTGTGAAGTAATTTGTTGACTATTGTAGAAGACATCATACATTTGATCACATTTGGGGCTAAAGAGTAGCAAATTATTGCTTGCATTCAACTGATGGATCTATTGGGTGGACAGCAAGTGGTGATTGTCTTCTCGCTTGGCGTTTGTGGCCACAAGACGGACGCATTGATTGGTCTCATAATGTATTGCTTGGAGTGATGTCTTTGGCTGTGATTTGCACACAATTTGACTCTAATTCCTGTCACTCGTGAGACACGTCTTGATGTGAGCGTAAACTGCCATCACTTGGGAATAACTTCGATGTCTTTGTTTGCATAAATTCATCATAATTATAGCCATTTGTGATATAATAGTCATTAATTTTTGTGATAAAAATGTGTGATAATCAAGAAAATTATGCTCCGATTAGAGCCAAAGGAAAGGCTCTTACATATGAAGAAAGTAAATTGGTTAAAACTAATTATAATATATTATTAAGACAACAAATGATAAATAAGGAAAGAATAGAGCCAATGAGAATAATAAATCAATTAAGAATACAATTCGGGTGCAGTGAATCGTCAATTAGGAGAATAATTAAACCGTAAGTATTAATAAGTTTTGGGTTTTTCAATGCTAATAACAAATAACACAAATTAATATAGAATTTAATTTTTTATAGGGGCGGTTGTAGGCCACCAAAAACTACAAAAAAAGAAGCCAAAGAAATTTACATTCAATAATAATGACATCACTATTATTGATAATATTATTATTAATTTTTATGACAACAAAACTGTGCCAACAAAAATTGATTTATTTCATTATATTATCGATAATAATATTGACATTTCATTTAAAAAGTGCAAAAGAATGACATTTTATAAATTACTTAAACAAATCGGATATAAGAGTAAAATAACAAAACATTACTTAAGAGATTTAAAAATTAATAGCAAAGCTATTAAAGACAAACGAATTGAATTCATTAATAGAAAAAGCGAATTAGAGAAAGGTGAGTTCATGTTAAGAATGACATCTTGTATGTTAAATTGATTCTCAGTATAAATAAAGTTTTCCATTTCATTCCAGATTTACCATTCTGTTGTTTGATGAAACTTTCTTGCATCAGAATGTATTAGTAAATCCAATGTTCCAATAGTTCCAAGAATCCGAATAAAAGACCCAAAATTAGACTCGTATTAGGTATGAAATTATATTTATATAATTGTCAACGGCTTTGCAAACTATCATTAGATGTGAAATCATATGCTGTGAACACAACCACTGATTTGTTTCATACGATTAACATGTTTTAATGATTGTCATGAATTGTGTGTCAAAAGTGGCAAACATTCATACCATTAGACTCTATGGCAGCCATGAGTTCACACAAACGGCGGTTAATAATGTGTTTAGAAATTGTCATAAAATTAACGGACTTTTTATTTTGCAGCAAAGGGAAAGCGATTTTCAATAATACAAGCAATGAATTGTGATGGCTTCATACCGAATGCACTTGAAGTACGAGTCGATGAAGAAATCGATGGCAAAATTTTTGAAGGTTGGCTTCGAGATCACTTATTGCCAAATCTTACGGAAAAGACTGTGATAGTCTTTGACAACGCCCCCACTCATGGGTGCCTAAGCATCCCGTAAGTTTACAGAAGCACTTCTATACCATATTATAAATGTCGAGATAAGGTTATAGAATAGTGAGATACAGGTTCAATAGTCTAGTGATACTACACTATTTGATATACACATTACATTGAGATATGAGAACATGGAGGACAATATACCAACATAGATTGGTGTTCAGAAAATACAGAATATTTGCAGTCAAATGTATTGAACTCTTCACAGAATATAGTTATGTCTAAATCATAGACCTCTCACCAATGTGTTACCTAAACATTATGTTAATCAAACCAATTGCTACTAAACTAATACTGTACTGTATTATCGTATATTATACAATAGAATAGTCAAAAAGTTAGGAAAGTGTACCAGTATAACTATAAGTATAACCCTTACACATACAGAATTGTGTAATACTGTAATAGTCTTATTACTACAGAATTATTAATAGAAATCTTACGATTGAATGATATGTGAGACTATAGTATCATTTAGTTTAGTCTATACTACAGGTATTGCACGCCTTTGACAATCTTATGGCAAAAAATTGGAGGCAATGAGACAATCACTAAATAGTTAGTCTGAAGTGAATTACAGAGAAAATGTTTACTGTATTCAATCATTTCGTACTCCCTTTCCATTTGTATTATTTTCAATGATATTCTACTCTTTTATAGGAAACCAATCGATAGATGAAAAAACAAGAAATGATTGATTGGTTAATAGAAAAGACAATACCATTCCCTCCCAAAGCCAAAAGACCTGAATTAAAAGCAACTATTAAACAAAATGTTTATTTTAAAGTCGATAAGATGATCAGTGATGCGGGTCATATACCTCTGCGATTACCTCCATATGTGTGAGGTTAGCAAAAGTGTTTCAATTATTTTAATTATCGCTTACATTACTCACAGCCAATGATATAACTATTTAATTGTCATTAAATCATACATTTGTATCCAGTTATAGCCATTTCAAGTTTCATACATTACTTACGCTCTAATTAGAAAAATATTTTTATACATTTCAGTTAAATCCAATTGAATCAATGTTTGGAGAGTTTAAGCGAAGAGTTAAACACAAGAATATTAATAATACAACGGAACAATTTTCCAATTTAATTACTAAAACATTTAATGATTTAACCAATACTTCAATGTGTGCCGCACAATGTAGACATCTGATCAAAATTGAAGAGAATTGGCTCATTAAAGATGGTGTAATTAAGGCACCAGAAAATCAATCCAATGAGTCTGACATTCAAGAACCAGATTCGGGACCAATTGAGGACATGAACGCAAGTGAGCCCTCCCTCAGCACAAGCCATCATATGACCGATCACTTGGTGTCGATGGGCGGCGCGACAGGCAATACATCGACACTGCATTCGGTGTCGAGTTCTCCAGAACTGCTTCGCAATACAGATATGGAGGAGACTATGGAAAGTGATTTCGAGAATAGGATGTCTCAGTCGAGTCGTGTGAGGCCGACGGCAATGATCTTATCTAATGAGACACAACATGACAAACAGACCGATCGTGTGATAAGACGTTTTGGTACAAACATTAGTACAAATAACATATAACTCAAACTCTCGGCGATAATAATATTTCAGCCTGTCTTGTAATAATATTCTGTTCAATGAAAACGATTCACCAAACGCTGTCACCAATAAAAGTGATATTAAGAGCACAGACAGTGTTTGCATGAAAAGGCATAAAACAGACCGAACCGACTGTTGTATTATCTGTTAATCTATTTTTCTCATTTTTTTTATAAAATTATAATTATTATTGTAAAATTAATGTGATATTTGTTCAATCAATGAATGAGTGTTAAAATAGTATGATAAATAATTTTTATAACCCGGCGTAATTTTTAAAATAGATTTGTAAAATATCAACAAGTTCATTCTAATTATTTTAATTCATTTGTTCTATTACTCACTATTATAGGCTATTATCAAACTAATTAATATCGAATCAAATTAATAAACAACTTTTTAAGTTTGTCAATTCATAAACATTTTTATTGTTATTTATGAATGGACCTTATAAAACGTACAATGACATCATGTTTGACAGAGATGTAAAAAAACAGTGTGTAAACGATGGTGACATACAGAGCCCTCTCGTAATGTATTTGCACCAAAATGTTTCAAAATAAAATATACAAGCGGTAACCATTTTTATTTAATAGTACACTCTACTACTGTACTTAAAATACTAATACACTGATTTTGTATTATATTGTGTATATGGTAAAAACCTACATTTTATCATTAAAGACATTTTCATATCTATACATTTCTAGTTAAATCAATATTAATGCTAAAATTTATGATTATTAAACATGATATTCAATTATTCTAATGAAAACTTTATGTAAATTATTTTATAGTTAATAAAATAGTTTTTAAAATTAAATTTAATACATTTATTTGGTAATAAAATTTATTATGTATTATGTATTGATTTTGTTAATAATATGTTACGGTATTATAATATTAACAATTCATAGGTTACAGGACCTAAAATAGGTTGCTTTTATCTATTTATTTATTGAAAAATAATTTATTTTGTAGTGTACTTAATATGCATCATAATAAAATTTATTATAATAATTATAACACAATGTGATGTTGAATTATTACACAATATTTATAAATGCCTGTATATTAAGCATTCAATAATAAATTAGCTAGTTTAATAAATTTAATAAAATAATATTATTCTCTGATATAATAATCTGTATCAAGAATATTCTTAATTTTTAATGTTTTTACAGAATAAGTGTACAAGTGTATAATATTGTGCATTGAAAACATTTTAACATTAGTTTTATTTAATGAAAATTAATGAATACTTTGAAAGCCACAGAATCACTGATACAGTAGTAATTAATATTAATTTCATATAAAATGTAATATAATAGTATATTACTTAATAATATTATTTAAGAATTGATCAACAGGATTTATGTAAAAAATAATTTTAAAACTTTTTAAAATTAGTTTAAAGTTTTAAGAACATAGCATTTAATTATTAACTTTACTTGCGTATATGTTACTCGCACATTGTTAAAATGAGTTAGATTGCAACTAGGGTATAACCAATATGAAAACTAATGCTAGTAATATGACATATATTTATAGCCAATACTTTAAACTCGTTTTTGAAATCGGAAAACAACGGCATCCGTGGGCTGTAGTATTAACCCGAATCTCTCCACCAATGACACGACTGTCCCATCATTTGCTGCGCTTATTGTATACCGTTGTAGAAGTGATACGAAATACAGGAATACCTCCACTCGTGCTAACCCCTCACCGGCACAATTACGTCTACCTATTAGTCAATGTAAAACATACAGAATATTCTTGATATCTCAACAACAAACACAAACAAACCCATAGAAAATGGTATAAAATAATCGAATTTAAGTAATTCTTTGCCATCACTTGTGAGGAATCGATTCAGATTAAAGTCTTGCGGTTTATGCCATACTTTGGGATCGTTATGAACGGCCCATATATTGCCCATAATTCTGGTGCCTTTCGGTATGAATTGACCCAAAACTGTCGTATCCTCTGTCGTGCTATTTATGTATTCAAAGCAAATAATTTATTATTCAATTACTGTATATTCATAAA